GTGTAAAGTTCATCGCACGGTCACGATTGTCCGGTAGTATTTTATTTTTTATTTTTTTTATACAAATCAGAATGACTTGAAAAATGAAAAATGAAACACTACCAGACAATTGTGACCGTGCGATGAACTTTGGACAGTGATGAGGGTAGGCGAAAACACTGTTCATTTTCGCGTATAGACGTTTTGTAGTATCTTTCTATATATATATAATATATATATATATATATATATAAACCTACTTTTTGCATAGGATTTCTATTTATCTCCTCTTTCATAGCTCAATTTTCTCATTAATGAAACTTCGATTAGAACAACTTGTGCGTATGACTTGATGTTCTTTGCTACCTGCTAATGCTAAATGTCGACAAATGCTAAAGTTTAGCCTTCCTGTTCAGAAACTCTGGAACGCACCCAAGGAATACTTCAGCAACTGTGGCAACAAACAGAGGAAGGGCTCCCAATAATAGGGGCTGGTGCAGGCACTGGAATATCTGCTAAGTTTGAGGAAGCAGGAGGTGTAGATATTATAGTCCTGTATAACTCCGGGCGCTTTAGAATGGCTGGAAGAGGCTCTTTGTCTGGTTTGTTGCCTTTTGCAGATGCCAATGCTGTGGTGCTTGAGATGGCCAATGAGGTTCTACCTGTGAGTTACAAATCGCAGACATGACAACATCAAAAACATGCTTTCTTAGTTCACTCTTTGTTTACACATATTGGACCCACCTGTTGCATAACCTAATGGACCAGAGACTTAGCATTATGTACTGTTACAATGGCAATTTCCACATTTTTAAAACCTCACAATAGACAATTAGGATTTTGTTTATTCTGTGTTGCTAATCAAGGATTTTTCATTAATTGTATAAGAACCATATGATCCTAGATATCGGACCAAGCAGATGTGGATTTTCAAATGGAGGCAAAGATTTTATATATCTAGAATATCTGTAGATCTTTGCTACTACTTGTATACCAATGAGAATTTGAACAATACTCATTGGAACTTGCTTTTCATGGGAGCATGACGAAAAATGGATTCATAATATTTCAATAAGTAAAAGAGGAAAAAACTGAGAAAGTATAAAAAAGGAATGCAGTGGGGTTCTAAAATTTGTAACATTGAAGAAAAAATATATATAGAAAATAGTGTTGAAAATTCTGAAGACTGGTATATTTTACTAAATAGATTAATTTATGTTCTTCCCTTAATTTAGAGGGCAAGAAAAATCTTATGTAATTCTTTATATGGGAGACATAAGGATTATACTAAAAAAAAATCTTCGTCTTACAGTTAAGAAACATATTAGAACCCACAACTTAAGGTTCATACATGCTTTGCTAGAAGATTCATTTGAAATTCTGTTCAGAATACAGCCAGGACTACAATGTTTTAATCTTTTCAGGAAAGAAATTACATGGATATAACATATATTGAGTATTTTGTATGTTTCTTAGAGGATGAATGTCAAATAATGGTCTGAAACACAAGATTTATAACTGAGATTTACACTAGGAATTTGCTAAAAAAGGGCCCATTATTTGTCCATGTTGCAGGTGGTGAAGCGAGTGCCAGTTCTTGCTGGAGTATGTGGAACTGATCCATTTCGTCGGATGGATTATTTCCTAAGGACCTTAGAATCCATTGGGTTTGCAGGGGTCCAGAACTTCCCAACTGTTGGCCTTTATGACGGTGGCTTTCGCCAGAATCTAGAAGAGACAGGAATGGGATATGAGTAATCGACTTCACATCTTAATTTTATAACTTTGACTTTGACTGGTCAAAATCTCTCTCTCTCACTCTCACTCAAAATACGCTTGCGCACACACACACACCCCACACACACAAACGAAAATGAAATGATTGGTGGTTACGAAGATAGTGTGACTACCCATAACAGGACCAGGCCCCAATCATATGCTCACCCTCCATCATCATCTATCATTTTATTAAATGGTCTATGCCTATATGGTGTACTTGCCTTTTTTAAACTAGATAAATCTTTACAAGGCTTTATTGAGGCAATGGTACTCTGTTATTAATTGGTTAAATGAGTCAGTCATTTTGATATGAAGGTTGGAAGTGGAGATGATCCGGAAAGCACATAGTATGGGTTTCTTGACGACACCGTATGCTTTCAATCAAGATGAAGCTGTAGCCATGACAAAAGCTGGAGCCAATATCATAGTGGCGCACATGGGACTCACCACTTCAGGGTCTATTGGTGCAAAAACAGCAGTCACCTTGGAAGAGAGTGTTTGCCTTGTACAAGCCATTGCTGATGCAGCAACTGCATTCAATCCAAGAGTTATAGTGCTCTGTCATGGAGGTACATTGCAGTTTTACACTGGTTTCTGGTCCATATGTTGCATGGGAGCACATAAGAGGAATTCGGAAAAATTTATTTTACATGCCAAAAAAAAAAATTGAATGAATCATGAAACAAAAGAAAAAGGGGAACTGAAAATGGAAAATTGACATGACAATCGCAAATGTGCAGTCATTTCTTTTTTTTGGGTAAGTCACTGGGGGAAGAGGCCCCCTACTCATTTTTTCATTAATAAAAGAGCAGAGAAAAACAATTAAGGTACAATCCTATGGTAGAGCAATTGAGCCACATCATATAATAAAAGCGAGGAAAGAAAATCTGGTGGTCTATGGCGCTAGACAATAGCACCGAGGCCAGCAGCTGCCCTCTTAGCTAGGGCATCAGCAACCATGTTAGCCTCACGAAAGACATGTGTAATGGACCATTGATGAGAGGACAATCTGGTGCAGCAATTGTCTACAATCATCTTTAGCCTCCATGGAGCATTGTATTGATTCTGAATGACATTCACGAGCAGGGCCAAATCACTTTCAATCTGAATTGGAAAGCCATTACTTTGAATAACCAATTGAAGTCCTTCCTTAAATGCCAAGAATTCTGCATGATTATTAGAAGCAAAACCAAAATGCTTTGAGAAAACTGCAATAAAACCGCCAACACTATTCCTGATAATTCCACCACCACCTGCTGAACCTGGATTTCTTAAGGAAGCACCATCAATATTGAGTTTATAATTATTAATCCCAGGAAGAGACCACGCAACCGGAGTAGAGGATTCAGCCCTCTGCTGCTGCCAACTTATCCGAAGGTTGCCAATGATGGCCTTTACTGATAGATGAAAAGACCATTTCTTAACTTCTGCTAGTGCCTGAACGTGTAGGGTAATCCTTTTCATAATAAGTTCTCTCCTAATGGGTCTTGACTCGAACACTCTTCTGTTGCGCTCTTCCCACAGAAACTAAATAGCCATAAAAAACATGGATGCCCAAATGTTGCGAAGCCCATGTGATTTAAACCTAAAAAGTAATCACCACCTAAGTAAATCAGGGACAAAGTTACCGACGACGAACTTTTTTCCACATCTCCAGGCGAGTGATTTCCGTACACCCTGCGCAAAGGTACATTGGAATAATAGATGAAATAAATTGTTGTCATGGTTACTACAAAAGGGACATAAAGAGTCTAGTTGCATGACTTGTTGCTGTAATAGGAAGAAAGTGGGCAATCGGTTATGCAAGGACCAAAGTGCATGGAAAATAGGCTGTGATGAACCTTGATGCCTAATAAAATCCCATGCCCTTTTAATAGAGAATGATCCATCAGTAGAATGAATCCAAATCAGTGAATCCTTCTTGGGCTGTATAGGGAGAGTATAGTTCTCCACCTCTCTCCATATATTCCTCAAAAAAACAGATGTGGGATGTGGCAGAACCCAAGTTTGAGGTACTCCTCTGATGAAGTCTGAGACCCTACTCCCTATAGCAGTCCCCAAATAATCCTGAATGTTATCATCGTGAGAGTCTGGAAGTGACTGACCTGCTAATCATGGGTCCATCCAAAAATTCACCATCCGACCATTACCAATATTCCATTGTACATTGCCTCTCAAGTGAAATAATCCAAGCAAAATCCCCTTCCATGCATGAGAACATCATTCCTTACAAATAAAAAACTGCGCATTCTTAAACAGCCATGATAATTAAAAGATAAAAAAATAAAAAAAGAAGATATTTTTCAGAAATTACAACAAATAGCTGTAAATTGTCATTTTTGGGGAATAGTCTCCAATTTGTTGTGATACGATGATGTTCTCCAAACTTTTCTTGTGTCCCAACAGTAGGTTATTATATAATGAGACGGATCAGTTGAACTTTTACCAGAAAGCTACACATCATATTTATTATGAGCAATGAAAATGAAACGAAAGTACATGTTGGAAAACAAATATGTTGGAAAACAAATGTACTTTATTTTCCAGCATGTGCTTTTTTATTTTATTTTCATTGCTCATGGATTTTTGTTTTATGTGTTAAAAAATGGTTATTTGGAGGCCCTTTGAAATTATAGAAGATTATGGCTATGATATTAAAACATATTTTTGTGAATTCAACTTTAGTTGGTTGTGCTATTATGCCTAAATTTAGGGTAAATTTGAACCTAAATCAAGAAATTCATAGTATTAGTATTTTGTGTAATTCATATATTTAAAAGAAACAGATAGAAATTTACTGAGTTTTTGCTTTTTCTCCTATTTCTGGTAAAACTAAATCAGGTGAAAGTTTATTAATTTCTAATAAATTTTGATTGGGGTATTGGTCCCTGGAAAAACTATTTCCAAGTCCAAAACTAGTAACCATGGTATGGCCCTTATTTCAGGTCCTATCTCAGGTCCCAAAGAAGCTGAGTTCATATTAAAGAACACGAAGGGGGTTCATGGTTTTTATGGTGCTTCTAGCCTAGAGAGATTGCCAGTTGAACAGGCCATTACAAGCATAGTCAAGCAATACAAATCAATATCCATGAACTGAGTCTTTATGAGTAAGTACCACAAAGTGGTGTCTTCGTTGTTTCTTTCTTATTTTCCATCTTCATTTCAATTAATGGTTTAATTCATGTGGATATGCATTGTTATTGAGAAACAGTTTCAAATGCTACTTTGTTTTTCTGCTCAACTAGAATCACGTCAAGACTTGGGATCTTAAAAAAGCAAAGAATGGTCAGAAAATTAGGATAGGTTTAGTCACTTCCTAATACGGCTTCATGGGTATACCTCTAAATATTAAGATGAAGATTGAGAAGTGGGGAGGGGGATTTGCGTTTATGTCTCTTGTATTTGCTATGGCTCTTAAGTTAGGAATGCATAGTCATTACCCAATCTACTATATTTGTTGTCTTAATCGGGAGAGAGAGAGAGAGTGAGAGAGAGAGAGAGAGAGAGAGAGAGAGAGAGAGAGAGAGAGAGAGAGAGAGAGAGTAGTAGTAGTAGTAGTAGTAGTACGTCGTACGTCGTACGTACGTACGTACGTAGTAGTACGTAGTACGTAGTACGTACGTCGTCGTACGTACGTACGTAACGTACGTAACGTAACGTACGTAA